TGCCAGGACAGACAGGGCTGGCTAGACAAAGGAAAGACTTCAGGACATGTGGATGCCAGCCCTCAGCACCTATGGAAAATACCCAAGCCCGAGAGGCAGTTTCAACCTCAACACATATAGCAGCACATGAGAAAATAAAGTTCTGTCCACAGAATCACAGACTGTATTGCTGGATGGGGTTTCTCTGCCCTCCACATCCTTGCTAGTTTGTGCTCCAGAATATGAATTGGATCAGGTAACATCACCATGTCCCCAAGCATTCTCTGACACTACATCTTACTGTCTGTGGGTAACACAGCCAGGACACAGGCCTCCCTGCCTACCACTCCTATACCCACGGCAGACGTCATTAAATGACCGCCACACTTTCTGCTGGGCCTGGATACAGCCTCAGGATCTAACTTAGCATAGCCTTGCAGGCAGACATTACCAATCAACTACCACCCTCAGGATGACAATCGTTTGCCTCCCATTGAACAGAGAGAGCCAGAATGCCTCAGCCTGTCTCTCTGCTGTCTTTTTCCACCTGTGTTTCCCATCACTATTCCTATGCTCTGGCTTCCCTCAACTGCTTGCCATTTCTAAACAGACATGTCTTTTTCTCACTCCTTGAGCCTTCGTCCATGTCGTGACTCGGCCTGGAATGCCCTCTGTGCAGACTATTAGTACTTCCCCAGGATATGCTCTCCCATAACAGTAAAGCTGTGTCTGGGCACAGAGCTGCCCAGCATAAAACACTGCCCAGCCTCCCCTGCACCATAAGGTAACCATGTACTAAGTGTTGGTCAATGAGATATGAGGGGAAGTGATGCACTTTTAATTATTTCCCCAAGTCTTGCCTTTAAGCGTTTGGGCGTATACTCCCCTGGGCCCTTCCCTTTCACAAAGGCCATTTGATGGTGAGAACAAAGCAGTGCCAGGGTCCCAGAGACAGAAGCCACATGATGAAGAAGGCAGGGCCAGTCTTCCAGCCTGGACCACCATCCCCTGGCCTGCCAGGGAAGAGTCATCCTCTACCTCGTTGAAATCTCTGTATTTGGTGGGGGAGTGCGGGGAGGGTGTCCTTGGTTATGGTGGCAGCTGAGTTTGTATTCTAACTGTGTGCCCTCCCACCTGCTTCTTGTTCTTCACAACCACCTTCTAGTGCCACCTCCTCAGTGAAGTCTTCCCAGAGCCCCAGGCTCCTCTGGGATCCCCCACCCTTCGTGCACACCTCCTGTTGGCAGTCCTAAACCACAGGATGGCTGTGGCCCCTCCCACCCTCCTGGCTGAAGGCAACTTCTCTCTTCTCCATCCATCCCCTGGACCAGTGCTGGTGATGGCGTGAATGCCCAAACCTGATCATATCACCCACTTGCCCCTGCTCTTAAAGTGCAGACCTCTCAGTATGGTGGTCAACACGTGACTCTGACCTACTCTGAGCCTTAGATTTGAAGCCCAGCCTGTGAAGTGATCTGATCCAGAGGCTCAGCTGGTCGTAGCTCCCTCTGTGTGTGTGTGACCGTGGACTGTCCCACCCACTGCCCGCCCCGCCCAGCCCCAGAGTGGCGGGTCTCAAGTAGCTGCTTCCTTGCTGACTGGAGCCTACATTGTCCTGCTCCTGGTTTGTTACTGAGAACAGGGACATTGACTGGGGAGTTTGCCTGAGCTGTGTATTCTTCTCAAGTGGCCTAGGAAGTCCCACGGCCTTTATATCTGTTCCTGAGACCCTCCTCCTGTCCCACCAGGCAATATGCTTTGCAAATGGCCCACACCTATTCCTCTGAACTTCTGGCCACTGTGACCTTTCTAACAAGGCTCGACCTCTGGCATCCCGTCCCAGGCTGCAGGCCCATCACTCCCCGGGCAAACAGTACACACTGCCCAGAAGCAGGATGCGGCCAGATCTCAGCCAGTAGATGGCTATTTTGAGACAGGGAGGATCCTGGGAGGATGCTGGCGAGGTCAGAGTAGGAAGGGAAAGAGGTGGATTTTCTGCCCACGATTGTGTGTCCCAAGCCCTCTCTGGGTGCCGCCCAGGGGCCCGAGGCTGCCACAAGGAAGAACACACCCACCACAGGGCTCCAACCTCGGTCTGGCTGGCCACAGAGGCAAACTGAGGGCAGGCACAGGTCTGGGGCTCCAAATCCTGTGGCCGGAGTGGGCAGAAGGAGTGTGTGCTTGTTTGTTGCGTCCTAACAGCAAGTGATTTCAGCATCTGGCAAGACACCGAGTGGTTTCGGAGCAGAGAAGGTGTCAGAACCCAACCCGAGGTCAGATGGAGAACACCAGAGAGAATCTAAGCATCCAGGAATGATAACTGATAATGATTTATTGAATATTCATTGAGCATCTACTACGTGTCAAGGACAATATTAGATAGTGGCAAAAAAAAGTGAAGAATGTTTTGCCTTGAGTGTGACACTTGACAATTATGTAAGTCCTCTTCTGCAAGTATCAGGAGACTAAAAGTGGTTCATAAAGTGGTTTACAAACTCTGACCCTAAGGAAATAGTCGGAGATGCATGATTCAGGTATAAAGATGAGAGCGGTATTCCACTGACTATGGGCATCGCAGACATTTCAGAATGCCAGAACTCCACTGTGCCAGCTTCCAGTGTTCTGGGGAAGGTCATCTGTCAACGTCAAGTGTTCAATACTGTGCCAGGCACAGCCTGGCTGCCCAGTGAGGGGCAGGGGCAGTAACGAGTATTACTCAGCACAGGTTGGCCACATGGCCCAGGCGTGCATGCAGAGGAGATACCTTTACTGGGGTGAGAAGCCTCAGGTGGGGCAGAGAGGACAGGTCTAGGGACCGAGTGGGACCCAGCCTGTCCTAGGAGATGCGTTGTATTCTGAAGTTCTGCTGTCTGAGACACCTCTAAGCAGCCCTCACATCTTTCTCTACTGACTCTCCTAAAAGCTGGGAACACACCTTATTCTCCTTCTGATTTTGCCTCAGTTCGGGGCCTTTAAATGCCCCTGGTGTTGCCCACCTGGATCTGATCTGTACTTTGGGCCAAACTGCGCTCCAGGGACTTTTCCAACACCCCTTGCAGGTGTCACTGCTCACTCTCCTCCCATCTCCTGGCCAAATCAGTCCCTGTTGGGGACCCTTCCCACAAGGACCTGCATAAGCCCTTCCTCATCCCCAGAATCCCTGAGCCACTCATGCTGTTTCACGGCTTTCTCCTCACCAGCCAAGAGCCGAAGCAGCGCTCTTCTAGATTCTTCCTCCCTCCCGTGGCATCCCTTCCTAGCTCCCAGCTTCCCAGGACCACCTGAGCTGGACTCTCCCAAGCACAGAATGGATCCCTCTTGGTTAGGTCCCCACTTTGATGGTAGGCAGGGAAAGGATACAGCCAAGCCTCTTTCTGCCTGTAAATGTGCCTCTGACACCAGGACACAGTGTCTGATAAGGATTTCAGTGATCTTTAAAGTGTGAGAGGAATTGAGCAGAAAAAAATACTAGTAGTGCTAACTAGGAATCAGGAAAGTGCTAAGTACTCTCCATGGAACTCTCTGAACTGCATGCCTGCAAGGTGAGTATTACCCACATTTCTCAGAGAAGACCACTGGGGCAGAGAGAGGTTAATAACTCCCTTGAAGATCACACAGCTGGTAAATGTCAGAGCTGGAATCCAAACCTCTATGTTCCCTGGCTCCAAATCTCCTGCCTGTCACCAGCTTTATGTACTTCAAGCAAGAACAATTGCAACTGACCGGGAAATTATGAGGACAACAGACACTGTGATGAAATCTGGGCTGCCTCAGAAACCCCGATGCACACAGTCGCTCTGCCCAGGCCCTGTCAACACAGCCTCACCTTCATCTCATCTCATTAATCTTGGCATTCTCTTCCCAAAAGCTAACCCAGACCCCAGGGCTCAATCTCCGGGGCCCCAAGGGAGGGAAGGAGCTTCCCAGGGCTCCTGGACACCCTTTTAATTAACCCAGATGACCTTCTTCTGACTGAGGCCAGCTGAAGCCCGTCACGGTCTCACCAGCTCCCGTGCCACCTGAACTGTAATTCCCAGCTGTGACTCAGCCCACTCACCCGCCAACAAATGTGGTCCCTCCATTTCCCACAGGTTCAGCATCTGCTGGTCACTTCTCCCTGGCTTGGGGACCCTGAGTGCTGGCTCCTCAGCCCCTGTGTCCAGCGGAGGGCCCGCCAGAGCACCCAGGGAGTGTCCTGCTACAGCAGGCATCCAGGGTCCTGACTCTGAGCCAGCAGAGACTGCAGCAGGGTGAACCCTCTGTCGTTCCTTGAAAGTGTTATTTGCCTCACACACCCTTGTTTGGAGCTTCCTCCCTTGCCCCCAAAGGGGTGCTGCCCATTTCAGCTACTCATGGGGATAATGAAACTTGCCCATCTGTCATTCTCATAGCTTAACAACAATGGTGAGCAGCCTGGAAAAGTCTTCACGGACCACGACTCAGAATCCACATTAGATTGGTTAGCTTGATCATGCCACATCACCCAGCAACCTCAACCTTGTTGGTGAGTGTGTGTGTGTGTGTGTGTGTGTGTGTGTGTGTAGCCTAGACACCAGATAGTGAACACACAGCCCCCTAAGCAATCTAGGTGGGACAGGCAAAGTTTTTCAATCATGGAGTAATTCATTCACTTGGGAATAAGCACTTTTGAACCGATTCTATCGGGCGCAGGCGGCACAGTGGTAAATCAGGGGAGCCAGATCCCTGTCTCAGGGGCTTCTTTCAACTCTGTGTGACATTGCACAATTTGCCATTTGCATTGTCAGATATGATCTCACAGCCTTGTGTGCACAGTATCTGGCCCACAGAAGAGTTGAGGAACAAATGAAAGCTTGAATAAGTAAATGAATGATGGATGGGGAGCGGGGGCCGATCAATGGGAACATGGAAGGCGAACATCGCAGACTGTCATTCCCATCTTCCAAATGAAAAGCGACGCTCTGAACAGAGTGTGGCCTGGCCACTGAGAGGGCCTCTGGTGTGTGTCCCTGTCCTTGTCACCCCTGCATAGGGCTCCTTACCTGGCGGGCAGTGGCATCCTGGGGACGTCTTCGGGGTCTCCCGGCGCCTCCGTGAGTGGAGCTTCCATTTCTGCACAAGGATACAGAGAAGAGGGGTCACTGGGGGTCGTAAATGCCAAGCCCTGGAAAGCAACTAGGGATTGAGGGCAGGGTAGGGGGCTAGTGAGGGGGGTGGGGGGCGGGGTCTGACGGGGCACTGATCCTGGATCAAACCCTGGCCACCGGGCGTCTGGATAATAAGAAGCAGATGGAGGAGTCCCATCTCAGTCACCTCGGGGTCTGATGTCTTTGGAGAGCTCTGAAGAAAATTAACTTGAGCACAAGACCCTATAAAGCAGTTTGGCCTTCCTGCACCCGACACTCATGAGCACAACGACCTGCTCTTCTCGGCTCTCTGCTAATTGTTTCCTGTCTAGTTCTGAGTGTCTATGCATCCCGGGGGCAGGGACAGTGACCTCTGTTCTTCTGGTGTCACTCACAGAGCCAGACACAGGCAGGACCACTGTCCCTCCATCAGACCCCTCCCTCACCAGCTTCCCTACCCTTCAGCTAATCTTGAAGGCACCAAAGATGCGGCAACAAGCAGACTGAGATGCTTGCCCAAGGAGCTGCCATTTCCGTGGAGATGAATGGACGACACATACACAGCTGCCAGTCCAGACACCTGGAAAGGGCAGGTGCTGAGCACCCCCATCCTCGCCACCACCAACGGAGGGAGTTGGAGGGGAAGCCAGAGGTTAACAGGTATGCTCTGGGGCCAGACTGCTGGGCTCCTGGGTTTTCTCAGACCCTGAGCTGTTAACAGTTCCAACCTCTTAGGTTACTGACAGATCAAAGAGGTTGGTGCATAGAAAGAAAGGTGCCTGATCCCCAAAAGGCATCAATAAGTGTTAGATGTGATTACACTTTCATGGCAAATAGAAGGGGAAGAAGTGGAGGCAGTGACAGATTTTATTTTCTTGGGCTCCAGAATCGCTGTGGATGGTGACTGCAGCCATGAAATTAAAAGACACTTGCTCCTTGGAAGCAATGCTATGACAAACCTAGACAGCATATTAAAAAGCAGAGAAATCATTTTGCTGACAAAGGTCTGTATAGTCAAAGCTATGGTTTTTCCAGTAGTTATATGAGAGTTGGACCATAAAGAAGGCTGTGTGCTGAAAAATTGATGCTTTTGAACTGTGGTGTTAGACTCTTCAGAGTCCCTTGGACAGCAAGGAGATCAAACCAGTCAATCCTAAAGAAAACCAACCCTGAATATTCACTGGAAGGACTGATGCTGAAGCTGGAGCTCGGATACTTTGGCCACCTGATGTGAAGCGCCAACTCACTAGAAAAGACCCTGATGCTGGGAAAGACTGAAGGCAAAAGGAGAAGGGGGTGGCAGAGGATGAGATGTTTAGATATCATCACCAACTCAATGGACATGAATTTGAGCAAACTCAGGGTAATAGTACAGGACAGAGGAGCCTGGAGGGCTACAATCCACAGGGTCGCAAAGAGTCAGACACGACTTAGCAACTGAACAGAAACAATAATTATATTCATTTTATAGGTAAGGGACCTGGGCTCAGAGAGGAAGCTAACCTGGTCAAAACCATGGTGGAGGAAGGCTGAGATCTGGACTCCTTTCTCTGAAGCTAGGACTGCAGTTAGAAGCCAGTAGCCCCAGAGTCAAGTTGGCCCTTAGATGTATTTTACTTGGCTCCAAAGTGATTTTTTTCCCCAATGAATTTGTCACCAATCTTTTGAAGGGGCTAATTTCATAGGAAAGTCTGTGTTTCTAACTTCTTTTGAACATACTGGAAGATCTAGCCACACGGGGCCTGTATCGCACGGCTGGCTATGACTGACTGCCCTATGCATTGTGGTCCCCACTCCAACGTGCTGACCAGCTATGATGCCAGCTGGCTCCTCACAAGCATTTCCCCAGAACTTGCCTCCTCACTGTTGTGTAGTCCTGCCACTCAGGGTGAGGGCAAAGGAAGCCACCTGCAAGGTGTCGTAGGATTTGGTGTCACCTCTAGTTTGTCAGTAGCGACAGAAGGGCAGGAAATCTTCCCAAGGATTCCCGTCAAACTAATGTTGGCTGAGCCCCCACTGTGTACTGGCGCTGAGCTGGGTGCTTTCACACAGGGAATCACATCTAGTTTTCATAATCAAACTCTGCATGCATGCTAAGTTGCTTCAGTCGTGTCAGACTTTGCAACACTATGGAATGTAGCCTGCCAGGCACCTCCGTCCACGGGATTCTCCAGGCAAGAACACTGGAGTGGGTTGCCATGCCCTTTTCCAGGGGATCTTCCTGACCCAGGGAATCAAACCCAGGTCTCCTGCATTGCAGGTGAATTCTTTACCTTCTGAGCCACCAGGGAAGCCAAATAGTGACCCATTTCTTAGTGAAGGAAAGTAGGTTCAGAGAGACTGAGTGACTTGAACTTGGACCGGTATGTGGTGGATATGGGATGAGAACTCAGGCCTTTTGATGCAAAGTCTACTCCATGCTGATGTATACAAATTCCCCTGGCAGAGGGAGCTCAGCCCCCGTGTGTGTGTGTGTGTGTGTGTGTGTGCCCGCGTGCACGCGTGTGCTGCGGTAGGGACAGATATGCCGTGTTGAAGGGAAGGGCAGAAGAGGACAGGAGGTCAAAGCACATAGAAGGAGGGAGGGAGGAACAACCCTAAGGGAAGCCCCTCACACAGGAAGGGAGGCTGGCACACAAATACTGGGTAGATGAACACTGAGGTGGGCACAGGGTGGCCACTGGGCAAATCGAGGACATCCCAGAATGAGGTCTGGCAGAAGGCCCTCTGATGCACAACTCTGAACCCAGCTCACTAGTGCCACTTCCCAGGAAGGGACTGTGCACACCCACTTCCACATCCCTTCCCACCAACAACCTGTAGGCTCTCCAAGGGGCTTATCTGTGGCTGTGAGTGGCAACAGTGGGTGTGTGACGCAAGTCTGTTAAATGAAGGAGCTGGTCAATGGCTAAGAAGCCATTGACCGAGTGGGCAGCATTCTGGCTATAGGCTGCAACCATTAGGGCTGTCACTCACTCAATAACTGAAGATGCCAAGCACAGGTTGGACCCTGGAGATGGAGCATGCAGCCCAAGGTGGACAGGAGCCCTGCTCTCCTGGGTTCACCTTCCAGTGAAGGAGACGATGAACAGAGAAACAGATGAATATATAACCCAGGCGGTGATAAGTGCTATAGAGAAAAGTAAACCAGGGTAAGGAGACAGAGAGTGACAGAAGGTGGTGTAAACTCAGGGGTCAGAGAAGTTCTCTGTGTGCAGGGCACGTTTGAGCAGAGAGAACTGACTGAAGTAAGGAAATGAGTCATGGAGAGATCTGGAGGAAGTATGTTCCAGGCAGAAGGAACAGCAGAAGCCAAAGCTCAGAGACAGGGCTGCATGTGGAGTTTTCAAGGAAGAGGAGAAGGGACAGTGTGGCAGGAGTGACTCGGGCAAGGAAGGAAGGATAAGGACGTGGTGGGAAAGGCAGGTCATTGGGGTGCTGGCAAAGGCATAGAAATTTAGAAGGACACAGATTTGTGACATTTCCACAGCTTCTTGACAGCCATAACACTCCAGAGCTAGTACAGACGCTGTGGTGAGCCATCAGGCTCTCGGGGTCAGGCTCATCCTTAGCTGTGGGGTATGGTGGCTGCTGACAGCTCAGCCCCTCGCTAGGAACCGCTTTCAGCTGAAGGAGCTGCCTTGACCAGGGTCATATCCACGCCCCGCAGCAAGGCAGGCCACAAACAGCCCCATTTAATAATAAAGGAAACTGAGACTCAGAGAGAAAAGGGGAATTGCTTTGAACAGGTAAGCCACAGAGGGATTAAATTCCAGGTCCTCTGTCTTCAAGTTCAATGTTATAGTGTTGTGGCTGTTTAGTTGCAGTCATGTTGGACTGTAGCCCACCAGCCTCCTCGGTCTATGGGATTCCCAGGCAAGAATACTGGAGTGGGTTGCTATTTCCTTCTCCAGGGGGTCTTCCTGACCCAGGGATCAATCTGTGTCTCTTACATCTACCTGCATTGGCAGGAGGATACTTTACTGCTGAGCTAACCAGGGAAGCCAGGGTCAATACTTTGGTTCAGTTCATCCTGTATATATGGCTACTGCTCCTTGGTCGCTTCAGTCATGTCTGACTCTGTGTGACCCTATGGACTGCAGCCCGCCAGGCTCCTCTGTCCATGGGATTCTCCAGGCGAGAGTACTGGAGTGTGCTGCCAAACCCTCCTTCAGGGGATCTTCCCAAACCAGGGATCGAACCTGGGTCTCCTTCATTGCAGGCAGACTCTTTACCACTGAACCACCAGGGAAGCCCAGGCTCAATACTTTGGTTCAATTCACCCCGTATATATGGAGCTCCTCCTAATTGTGAGACTACAAAACTGAGAACAAGACAGTCCCCATCAACAAAGGAGTTTGAACTTTATGTGGGAGACACGTGTTGAGGAGCGTCCAGCTGGTTGCAGACTTTGAGAGCTGAGTGGGTGATGGGGGTTCTGTGCCCAGGTAAGGGTTCGGCCCAAAGCAGCCAACTAAGGGTCTGAAGCAGAGGAAGCACGTGGTCGAATCTGGCTGGCCCGAGGGCCCTCCAGCAGCATGTTGAGAAAGACCAGGACAGTGAGAAGGTTGGAGGCTGAGGTTCCTCTCTGGAGGCTGTCAGTCACACACGCAACAGAGATACACTAGGGGTCCCGTTTACGGCCTGGCAGCTTGATAGAGAGTGGCGGATGAAAGGAAGGGGGTACACAGGGGAAAGAACGGACAGGGCACAGGACGAACTTGGTGTGGGGTAGGGTCTGGGCTCAGCAATCGTTTTCTGTGAAGGGCCAGTTAGTAAATATCTGAGGCTGTGTAAGCCATACGACCTCTGTCACAACCACTCAGCTCTACTGTGTAGGTGCGCATGGCCATGTTCCCATAAAAGCGGATTTACTAAAGCAGCCTTCCAGTGGGATCCAGGGCTTGTTTGCTCACCCCTGATACAATCTTTATGCAAGCATGCTGTTCTTCCTCCTACCAAAAAAAAAAGAAAAGAAATGAAAAA